AAAATCGAATGTGGACTCGGGTGATTCTACATAGTGAATTTTTATTTCAGGTAAATCAACATTTTGAATTTGATGTATTTTAGGCCATTGTGAGTCGTTGTCATACAGGTACGAAGGGCCGTGCCACCACATAGAATTATCTCGTAGATGGCGGGCGTTTATACCTCGTGAAATTAAATCAGACGGATTAGCGTCAGTGGGAACGTATCGCCAATCCTTACGGTCAGTAAGATCTAAAATTTCAGCTGCACGGTTAGCAACAAAAGTTTTTAGTTTTCCTGGATCATTATTTATCCAGCATAGAACAATATTGGAATCGCACCAATGCGTGAATCTTGTAGGTACTAGTCTTAAGGACTCTGTAACAGATTTACACAATTTAGCCGATAACAACGCCGCGCAAAGTTCGAGGCGAGGTATGGTGGTTGGCCTTAAAGGAGCAACCTTGGATTTAGAACAAAGTAACTTTACTGTAATCCTATTGTTCTCGTCCAGACTTCTCATGTAGACACAAGCACCGTAGGCTACCTGTGAAGCATCACTGAATGAGTGAAGTTCTATGAACTTTGGTGAATCACAAATAACTCTGCGAGGAATGTGAAGATCTGCAAGTAAAGGTAAGTTTTCTGATATTTCATTCCAGTTTTCTTGTATGTCACAAGGTACAATTTGATCCCAATCAATTCCTTTCATCCACAATTTTTGAATTAATATTTTCGATTGAATTGTGCAAGGACTTAATAACCCAAGTGGATCAAATATACGAAGTGATTGTGACATTATATATCTTTTTGTAATTTTGTTATTATTAAAATTATTTTTTACAGGAAAGTGGAACGTGTCTTCATGTGGATCCCAGCCTAGGCCAAGAGTATTGAATGACTCACTTAAGGTAAGTTTCTCTTTAGTATTAATTTCTATATTTTGAAATAATTTAGGTAAATTAGTTTTGTATTTTCGCAAAGGAAAACAAGCTGAATTCAGAGCAGTAGAAAGTGCCCTTTGTATGTATATCAGCTGACTCTCACTATCTGATCCAGTGATGACGTCATCGACAAAGAAATCATTTTGTATTATAGTTTTAATTAATTGATCATCACACTCCTCCCCTACCTGCCACAGACATTTAGTGCTAAGGTAACTGGCACTTGCAGTACCGTAAGTAACAGTACCTAACTGCAAAGTTTGAATAGGTTGCGACTCATCTTCTCTCCACAGTATTAATTGAAGATTGCAATCGTCAGGATCCACAGCTATTTGTCTGTACATTTTAGTTATGTCTCCGGTTAAGATGTATTTGTATTGTCTTGCTCTAATTAGTATGGAGAATAGAGAATTCTGCAGATTAGGACCTACCAATAAGATGTCATTTAGGGAATAGCCGGAAGTTGTGGGAGCTGAGCCGTCAAAGACCACGCGAATCTTGGTAGACTCGCTGTCCTCCTTGAAGACAGCATGATGACATAGAAAATATGAAGGATTTGGTATTTTAATAGGTGATTCTGACAGATGATCTAAGTTTGAATATTCACGAATAAATTCTACGTACTGTGACTTTAGTGTCGGGTTTTTCCTAAACCTTTTTTCGAGATTTAGCAAACGTTTTTTAGCTTGATTATAGGAATCGCCGAGACAGTCAGGTGAGTCCTTTAGTGGCAATTTTACTCTGAACCTGCCGTTACTCAAACGCGTCGTGGTATTTAGAAAATGATTTTCGCATGCTATTTCGTTGGGACTAAAAATCTTTCTTTCAGGTAGATTCTCTAGTTCCCAGAATTTGGTTAACATTTTATCCAAATTGTTATTTGAAACAATTGAATGATTGCATTGAATATTTTGTTTGTAATTTTGGAATTTTATAGGACCGGCTATAATCCAGCCTAATTTAGAATTTTGTAATTTAGGACTGTTTGGGCCTAGAGAGCGTTGGCCGCTAATCAGAAGGTCCCAAAATATATCTGCTCCAATAAGCATCTCAATGGAAGCAGGTTCATAGAATTTAGGATCAGCTAATATAACTTCTTTTGGTATTTTTAGACTATGTGTATCGACGGAAATCTTTGGAATATCTCCGGTAAGTTGATTGAGAACATAACAAGATAACTGAACTTGATAAGCTCCATGAATTGATTTTATGTAAGTATCACATCTTTCTAATATTTTATCGCAATAATTATTGCCTATTCCGATAACATTTAATGCGTTTAATGGATGACACACTAAATCTAGTTTTTGTTGCAGAGATTTAGTTATAAAAGTGGACTGGCTGCCGCTATCTAAAAGCGCACGAACCTTTTCCGATTTGTTATTCAAAGGATTGTAAACTTCTATGATCGCTGTAGATAAAAGAACATATTTATTATTGTGTTGAGAAAAAGTCACTACGGTCTCATTAGTATTATTATTGATTATGTCTATTGTACTGCAATTAGATAATGAGCTGTGATCGTGAAGAAGCGTGTTGTGCCTTTGGTTGCAATGCCGACATGAACCCATGCCGCACTCTGACGTAGGATGACCTTGACGCAAACAGTTACTACACAATTTGTACTGAGTTATACATGACATTTTCTCCTTAATGGATTTGATTTAAAGGTTGGACAATCATATCTCCTATGATTTCCATTGCACACTACACAAAGATAACAAATATTATTTCGAGTTTGTGAAGTGGATGTAAACACATTAGTACCCTTTTGATAACGAAGTGATTTATTAAAAGAATGTTTGTTGCTAAAGGATTGAGATTGAGTGTTAGATTGCGAAAGACGTGAAGTTTGTGGTGATTTGGAAATGTTATTATTATTGTTTATACATTTATTATGGCTAAACGATTCCAATACATCAGCGCGGTCAATTAAAAATTTATTGAATTGTTGTAAGGTTGGCACATCACTCAAAGCGTTGCGATATTCTTCCCATTTTAATATAGTTCGACTATCTAGTTTGACTGATAAAATAAATATTAGCAACATGTCCCAGTGGTCAGTTGGTAAACCTAGATTGTTTAAAGCTCTTAAGTTTTTAGTTACATTATCAACCAAATATCGAAGGGATTTATCTGATTCGCGAGTTATTGCTTGAATATTAATTAATGAATCTAGATGATGGTTGATAAGAATTCTTTTGTTGTCATAACGCTCGCAAACCTGTTTCCAAGCTTCTTTGTAATTAGCGGACGATACTTCAAGATTTGCTATAATGCGTGCCGCGTCACCGTCCAAATAAGAAACTAAGTAATGGAATTTATGTATGTCTTGAATGCGATCATTATTGTGAACTAAGCTAACGTATGTGTCCCGAAATTCGAGCCAGCGGAAATGTGATCCATCGAACTTCGAAATTTGTATTTTTGGTAATCTAAAACCCACATTTTGATGATTAGTGTCCGCATTAACAATAATAGATTGACGGCGCGGAAACTCATCGTCATTACTATATTTTTGCAATTCCGTCTTAGCTATAGCTATATTTTGAACTAGTTCTTGTTCAATGCGTTCACGCTCATCGAGTTCCATTAAGATATTTGAAGCATTTAAAACCTCAATCTCTGTCTGCAAGTCATCAAACCTTGTCGATAATGCTTGCAATTTATTTAATTTTAAATTTAACTCTGCAACTTCTATATTTGATAACTCTGGTAATTTACTGATGTTAGCTAAATAATTTTTGAATTTCGTTATTTGTCCCTTAATTGAACTACGTTTTGCTAGCAGTTCCTTTAGAGACACTTGCACGGGATATTTCTGGTTACCCTCTTGCATATTTGTAAAAATATTTGCTTACTACGTAATTGAACAAAAAATGTACTTTGATTGTACAATTCTAGTATTATACTGCACCAAAATGAAATATCGACTGGTTATGTATGACCAAACAGTAGAAGAAATAAAATGAATTCTCACGCTCCTCCTCTCGGTGAGGTCCCTTGGGAAGCTGGTATCGGCTGGCTGCAAAACCTTAGTCAGCAAAACGAGCAGTGACGTATTTGGCAGCAGCCTGGTCGAGTAACTGAGTTCTCAGGATAACGCCTGGAAATTTCGGCAAATCGACTTAAAAATTTGAAAATATCGATTAAATCGATGTAGGGTTTATGGCAAAGGAATAATATTAAATTAATATTAATGACATAGCAATTAAGTGGCAAATCAGAACTTGAATTTAGAAAAGAAAATCTTTGGACATTATAGTTGACGGTATATGTAAGTTATTTTACTTATACACTTATTTGCACTATAAAGACGTATAAATCAGAAAGAAATGCACAAATAAAGGCTTAATAGTGGAGTAAGTGTATTTTAGAAAGGAATTAGGTACTAGGTTGTAGTAAGATGAGGTTAGATTGGAACAAAGGAATGGCACTTATCTCATTGATGATGATGCACCTCGACGACTTTCCGGTACTACCTTTAGCTGGTTCGCAAGCCAGGAAGTCAAGGCTGGTTGCTTGAGTGGTAATCGCCTTCAAATTTAGTTTCCTTTGGAAATCTGCAGTAGCCGAGTATTGAGTTGCTCGTCACCGATTTTGTAATTTTGTAGAAAATGTCCTGTCACGGTCGCCAAATTTCTTGTTTACGCACAAGAATGGAATTTCTTTAGTGAAACTCAAAAGAACTTTAGAATTATGTATATTACAATAATTTTTGGAGACATAAAAAAGCAGAGATGGTGACTGTTCGAAATCGGTAGTAGAATAGACTGGTGCAACAATCTACCCGCTGTTGAAGATTGTAAAAATAAATGTCATATAAAAATAATTTAACTAGACGTAAATCATCTAACGACGAATTGCTATGCGTATTGAAGTAGGCGCGTACACCCACTTTACACTCATAACTCATGTAATAGGTAGTGAGCCTAATGTCATATACCGGGCGCAATTCCATACTCCGTGCTACTACTGAAAATTTTTAAAATCCAAACACCCTTGCCCGGCCAATCGGAGTTGTTGACTCGGCCAACGAGGTAGTTTCATATATCGTACTTTTATTATTATTCAGGTGTTCGCCGGCGTCGGTGAGAGGACGCGCGAGGGCAATGATCTTTACAATGAGATGAAGATCGGTGGCGTTATCAAAGAAGATTACAAGACATCTAAGGTCAGTCTGAAGCCCTCTCTCCTCTGAAGGATCTGAAGTCCACTTCTGCCTGTTAGTGTACAGTCAAAGGTCAAAAGCACAGCCACCGTGAGTGATTTTCCAAAGGCAATGCGTAAGTAATTTCATATTAATGTGCATAAAAACGCGTGCGTACTGCGACGGGGATATACCCAAGGAATATCCCCGTCAGAGTGCTGACACTTCACTCCTCGCCTCAAATGCATACAACCCCGTCCTATACAAAAACAGTCAGTCGCATTCCATCCACAATCCCGTGCACTCGTGGGTCACACTCGAAATTATAATACCTATTAATTTGTGAAATTAAATAAAAGTTATTTCATTCTTTGAACTGCAGTGTTTCCTTTAAGAAGAGAACTTACTTAAAATCTAACAATACGCATAAACACACGCACGCGTACGCACACGGATAAAAATATGCGTGTGCATGTGTGTATAAGCGCTGCAGCGCAACCGATAGTAGTCTTACGGTGGCAGTGGACTTTTGACCTTTGACCGTACCCAATCATTATTTCAACACAACAAAACTACACATCTTTTAACCGACTTCAAAAAGAAAAAAGGTTCTTAATTCGACCTGTTCTATGTTTGTTTGTATGTATGTATGTTGTGCGCGATTAACTCCCGATTTTTTTTTTATAGCGTAAGTCGGTAAACGAGCTGACGGAGCACCTGATGGTAAGCAATCGGCGTCACCCATTGACACCTGGAACACCAGAGGCGTTACAAGTGCGTCACCGGCTTTTTGGGGATTAGGAGTTTGAGGATCATTGGGGATTCAGGGATTGGGGAGATTGGGGAAGGGGAAAGTAATTGGGCCTCCGGTAACCTCACTCACACGACGAAACACAACTGGGTCGGGCAAAGTATTACTGGGTTTTTAAAAATCTCAGTAGTACAGAACTGAATCTGGAAATGTGACAGGTATATGATAATAGACTCACCCCCTTTTAAATGGAACTCATAACATAAATAGTGAAAAGTGGGTGTTACATTTTACAGTGGCATTAAGTGCCGAAATGTGCACCTCTGCCTACCCCTTCGGATAATGGTAGATAGAAAGGAGGATAAAAAGGCGTGGTGTTATGTTATGGAAAGATCACCCTGAAACCTGACGAAAAAAGCCGGGTAAATTAAAAATTACTAATCGTCCTCAAAATTCAGGTGGCGCTAGTATACGGTCAGATGAACGAGCCGCCCGGCGCGAGGGCTCGCGTGGCTCTCACCGGCCTGACAGTGGCTGAACACTTCAGGGACAAGGAGGGGCAGGACGTGTTGCTGTTTATCGATAATATATTCCGGTTCACTCAGGCTGGGTCGGAGGTGAGTTGTGCAACTGTTTCATAAAGTTCATCATCATCATAATCAGCCAGTATTCATCCACTGCTGGACATAGGCCTCTCCAATGGCACGCCACTGAGCTCGGTCTTCAGCTCTTCTCATCCAACCACTACCAGCCAACTTGCGGATGTCGTCACTCCACCTAGCTGGAGGGCGCCCAACACTGCGTTCGCCTAGACGCGGTCTCCACTCTAGAACACGTTTACCGTACGGTAGTTAAATTAATCAAATTCAATACTTTTGGGCTCTTACACAAAACTGTGATACGACGTCGCATCGCAAGAACTTGCGAATTGATTCGCATCGCGCATCAAAATCTTATCTTCCCAAAATCTTCTTTGTTTCTATTTCCTGTATCTCCTAAGCAATAACAGAAGTGTACACTTATTTTTACGATCCATGTCACGACCTAGTTTTCAATTTAAATTACGTACGGTTGACGGTCGTCGAAGGAATGGTCACCCTGGGAGACGCCTTGTCGCACGAAATCGCATCGCAGCAATTCGCATCGTAATTTTTTTGCGTTGCGCGTTTGCATCGTATCGCATCGCAGTTTTGTGTACCTACGAGCCCTATATCGGTATGTTCATTAAGAATCCTTTATTAAGATTAAGGATCGACAAAGATCCAAAGAATATTGGAAAAATATACTTATCTATGAATTTATTATGAAAATATCAAGCGATGACGTCATCATAATTTTGCAATAGCATACTTCTTTATTTGTTAGAAAAATGCAAAAATTAGGTAGGTATAAATCGTCAATGAATAAATGAAAGAATGTTTATTTTTTAATATTTTATTGTATTGAAAAGTCAAAATAATTTATATCTACGATCCTATTGGGAATGGAAGACGTAGCTCGTAGCTATTCATTAACGGCTGAAATAGTAAGCGATGTCAATTCGAAATATTTGAAAATTGTGTTATGACCAGAAGGCGTGAAACGAAACCACTTTCGTCGATCTACTTGGTTGATTTTTTTGAGCCGGTCATTCAGAGCGTTGAACCCGGTCTTGTTTCGATTACTTTTAACGCAAAACAGAATCGGACTAAGATATCTGAGTGGGATTTTTGAAAAAAATCTTAAATGGACTCAAAGATTGTCGTTCGACATTGGTTATTATTTTCGGCCGTAACGCATTAGCTGATTATTTATTTCTTTGCGAAGCTAAGTTTTTCATGTTCCTTAGACGCGCCGCCGGACTTCAGTGTTACAATGTCTTCATGATTGTGTCTAGCGTAGATCCTGGTGCACAGGAGATAAACTGATAGCATTCAACAGTAATATTAATAGTAAAAAAAAAATGCATTATCCTTATCCTTACTTCCTTACTTATATTATAAATCGGAAAGTGAGTTTGTTTGTTTGTTCCACTTTAACGCCGTAACTAATTAACCGATTGCTTTGAAATTTTGCAGACGTAAAGTTAAAAGTTCGGATTAAATAATAGGGTACTTTTTATCCCTGAAAAAATTGATATTCCCGAGGGAAAACAAAAATATTGGTATAGATGGCGCTGAGTGTATATGTCACATAGGCTACTTTTTATCCTTTTGTGACGCGAGCGAAGCCGCGGGTAAAAGCTAGTACAAAACATATCTTAAATAAGTAAAATTGATCTCATAAAGTTACTTTTTATGCTAGAACCTTTATAATTATACTTAAACTGTCAAACACCGCGAGGCCACCGGTGACCGCAACCTATTGTTCTTTATTTGTATCTATAATGACGGTACTCAAAGAGTTAAACTTATTAGAAATAGGTTTCTACGCACACAAACCCCGATAAAACCTTTACCATTTGATCACAGGTATCAGCCTTGCTAGGCCGTATTCCATCAGCTGTCGGATACCAGCCGACGCTGGCCACTGACATGGGTACCATGCAGGAGCGGATCACTACCACCAAGACTGGCTCCATCACCAGTGTGCAGGTTTGTGTCGTATTTAACAACTTGTATATATTGTTTATAATAACTATCGTGAGATATACAAAGTTAATTAAAAACTGCGGGTCACTCACGTGAATATACTGAGAAAATTTCTAGTAATTTCGGGCCACAGACGGACTCTTCCTCATGAGCCACTGCCAGTAGGCGAAAAGTCTTCTAAAATCCACACGAACGACGCCGCAGGGCACCAGATAACCTGGGTGTCTTCAAGGCCTGAGTGAATAGGTTGCTTATGGGACGCCGTGCTCCATCGTAGACCGCATCATCGCTTACCACCAGGCGAGATAGTGGTCAAACGTCGGCCCATCAAATATGTCGCGGAGAACCTAACGGGTTACCGGGGCTCCGGCTCGACGTGCAGGAGAAGGAACGGGGTGGTTTTTAGTCAGTAAGAGTCTGACACTCCCTTCCGCCTCACCCAGGCGGGAGCAGTCATTCGATGATTTTCCCCCGTTAAAAAAAAGCCCATCAAATATAAAAAAATAACAAAAGCAATTTATAGCCAGTCTAAGAATTTTGACTTAGTTTTTTACAAAATATATCAAAATTCATAACACAACCTTTAAACCCGAAGGGGTAGGCAGAGGTCCACATTGTGCCACTGTACACTGTAACACCCACTTTTCACTATTTATGTTACGAGTCCCATTAGTAGGGGGTGAGCCTATTGCCATGTACCGGGCACAATTTCAGACTCCGTGCTACTACTGAGATTTTTTTTTAAATCCAGTAATACTTTGCCCGATCCGGGGATCGAACCCGAGACCCCTTGCCCGGCAGTCGCACTTGCGACCACTCTGCTAACGAGGCAGTCAAAACTCCTTCTATATTAAGCAAATACAGACAAATAATAAATATTTACAGGCAGTATATGTACCAGCCGATGACCTAACAGATCCGGCTCCAGCAACTACCTTCGCCCATTTGGATGCCACCACGGTACTGTCTCGAGCTATCGCGGAGCTTGGAGTGTACCCTGCAGTGGATCCTTTGGATTCCACGTCCAGAGTCATGGACCCTAATATTATAGGACCGGAGCATTATGGCGTCGCTAGAGGCGTCCAGAAGATTTTGCAGGTTGGTTTTTTCTACTTTTTTTTTTTAAGCGGTAAAATCATCGAATGACTGCTCCCGCCTGGGTGAGGCGGGAGGGAGTGTCAGACTCTTACTGACTAAAAACCACCCCGTTCCTTCTCCTGCACGTCGAGCCGGAGCCCCGGTTACCCGTTAGTGGTTTTTTCTACTTGGAGATTTTACTAGAACTCTTATTTAAATTGTTGTAAAATGTTGCTAGGACCTTGGGGTTCAATTGGGTAGATGAAAGGGTAAGAAAATTAAAAATCTAATTAGTCCGTCAGTTAGATAATGAAAAAATATTAGAGACGCTTTTTTCTATTTTGTTGTATAATAAAATGATATGTAGATATAACGAATCAAAGTTTAGGAGTGGGGGCTTTTTTTTAAGGGGGAAAATCATATATACGTAGAATATTGAATAGAAAAAAAAAGAATAGAAAAGAAAAGAAGAAAGAAAAAGAAAATTGAATAGAAGAAGTTAAAAATATACGTAGAAATGACGTTTTAGGCCCCACTCCTTAACTTTGATTGGTTTTATCTAAGTATTGTTTTATTATCCGAAAAATAAAATATATGTGTCTAATATTTTTTCATTACCTAACTTACGGACTAATTAGATTTTTAATTTTCATACCCTGTCATCATCCCAATTCTCCAATGAGTACCTAATTCACGTTCCCGTCCATTCCGTCCATTCGTTGATATGTGTTTCAGGATTACAAATCCTTGCAAGACATCATCGCTATCCTGGGTATGGACGAGCTGTCGGAAGATGACAAGCTGACGGTGGCGCGGGCACGGAAGATACAGCGATTCCTGTCGCAACCTTTCCAGGTAGTGACCTGTCACTATTGAAGTGATAAATGCTAAAAAGAAGGGAAAGTCGTGAACGAACACTCGTGTACCGTTTGAGGACTGCTTATAATAATGACGTCATTTACATATGTGTCATATTTATTCTTGCACACATGGACACGACCACACACCTACTACACACAACACACACGATACACACACAATTCATATTTACATATAGGATTTTTAAGCTGTTTATTTTATTTTTGGTTATCTGTTTTCTGAAAATAAAGGTAATTCTATTCTATTCTATAATGTTAAATATTGGTTACAGGTAGCTGAAGTGTTCACCGGCCATATTGGAAAGCTGGTGAAATTGGAGCAAACTATTAAGGGATTCAAAAGGGTAATTAAGCAATTATCACTAAAAAATCAAAGTTAGTCAATGGTCCCACAGCTTCACAAGGAGTGCCATCAGCGATGCAGCCATTTAGTTTACAACAGCTCTTATTGCCCTGGCAAGAGACTAAGTGTGGGAGAGCCATGCTTCGGCACGAATAGGCTCGACCGGAGTGATACCACGGCCTCACAGAAAACCGACGTGAAACAACGCTAGTGTTGTGTTTCGCTGCGTTTAAACGCATCCTCCCCAACCTCGGGGGGCCAAACGCCTCCTGCCGGAGGTTATACGCCGGGGTCGTGCGGTCTATGGCCCTCTACGGCGCCCCTGTTTGGGCGCCTAACCTGTTGCGGCGTCCCGCTCGGACGCTGCTCATGGCACAGAGGGTCATGGCGATCCGAATGATCCGCGGATACCGCACGATCTCTGGGGAGTCGGCGAACCTCCTTGCCGGATTACCGCCGTGGGATCTGAAGTTGCTCGCGCGCGTGCACAGCATGCGCGCGGAGGCACGTCGCCGGGGCGAAACTCCGCTGCCGCGCCAGATAAGTGCGTGGCGGGATGAGCTCCGGCGCGATCTCATGGCGGAATGGCAGCAACGACTGTCGCAACCGAGGACTGGGCTCGCTGCCATCGCAGCGGTAAGTCCCCTCTTTGAGGAGTGGCTTGAGAGACGCTACGGCGTCCTCACCTACCGCCTGACGCAGGTCCTCACCGGACATGGCAGTTTCGGGAGGTACCTGTGTCTGATGGGGCGGGAGGAAACGCCCGGGTGTCATCACTGCGAGGACCGCCCTGAGGACACGGTGGAACACACGGTGGGAGAATGCCCTTCGTGGGCTGAGCACCGCCGTGTCCTCAGGGAAGTGATCGGCGATGGCGACCTCTCGCGTCCGGGCCTAGTGCAGGCCATGATGCGGAGCGAGGGGGATTGGGATGCCGTCTCCTCCTTTTGCGAAGCAGTCATGCTAGCTAAGGAGGAGGCGGGACGCGTGAGGCAGCGAAGCGCTGCCTCCTCGCAACCCAGCCATCGCGAAGGACACACCGGGCGTCGGGGATCGCGGGACGATCTCCGGCCACCGTAAGCGCGGGCCTGCGGACGGCGAGCATGGGTGGCTCCCCGTCCGACCAGAAACAGACCCGAGCGTACGGCGCGTCGCGTTCCGCGCGCGCCTCAAAGAGCCATCAGACCACCACAGATGGGGCCCAATAGGGCCGATGCCGATTCGGAGTCGCGGAGAACCTAACGGGTAACCGGGGCTCCGGCTCGACGTGCAGGAGAAGGAACGGGGTGGTTTTTAGTCAGTAAGAGTCTGACCCTCCCTCCCGCCTCACCCAGGCGGGGGCAGTCATTCGATGATTTTCCCCCATTAAAAAAAAAAAAAAAAAAAGTGTTGTGTTTCGTCGTGTGAGTAAAGTTACCTGAAGCCCAATTACTCTGAATCCTCAATAATCCTCAAATTTCTAATCCTCAAAACGCCGGTAACGCGACACCTCTAGTATTTTGGGTGCCCATAGGCGGCGCCGATTGCTTACCATCAGATGATCCCTTTGCTCGTGGCTTATTCCATAAAAAGTATTTCTAGGTCACTGCAGATTTTCAAATAACATTTATTTATATAAAAGAAAAAGAATTAGAAGACTTACGATATTTCGACTGCGTGACACTTGTCGTATCGTTTGGTGTGCGAAGTTAAAGCTGTGTCTACGTGTCTACGCTAGGAGAGCCGAACATGAGCGGAGGACGAGCCGAACACAATTCATTAGTGTGGACCGACTTAAGCCAAGGATACACTACATGTATCAGCGACATGTTGACCGAAGCCGGCCGATTGACATATACGGCGAAAACGCACGACTTATGATATGCCAGACATGATTAAAGACCGACAACGTCGCGTTACTTCACCCAACGTCGCTGGCAACACGTGTCCCAGGACATTTGTTTCTTAGTGTACTATATTCTAGTGGTCTAGAGCGTTCGGCTCGTTCTCGGTTTTTTGACGAAGACTAAGGGATCTGCTTTTTGTGCTCACTGTGCTCATTCACTACGGAAAAGTTTAGTGTGGGAGAGCCATGCTTCGGCACGAATGGGCCGGCTCGACCGGAGTGATACCACGGCCAAGCATAAAACCGACGTGAAACACCGCTTGCGTTGTGTTTCGTCGTGTGAGTGAGGTTACCGGAGGCCCAATTACCCCCCTCCCTAGTCTCCCGAATCCCCGAATCCTCCACAATCCTCAAATCCCCGATTCCCAAAAGGCCGGTAACGCACTTGTAACGCCTTAGTGTTTCGGGTGTCCATGGACGGCGCAGATTGCTTACCATCATGTGATCCGTCTACTCGTTTACCGGCTTATGCTATAAAAAAAAGAAATTTACGTTCGAGGACAGTGATTGTTGTAGGTTTGCACTTGACTTGACTTGTGTTTCACTCGTATTTGGTTCGTCTAGCGTAGGGTCTACGCTAGACCCGACTTTATAAAATTTCTGCGTAGATTAAAACTAGTAGTTAGCTCGTACGCAGGTAACTAAATAAACAACACGTCTTTTATCCCCGAAGGGGTAGGCAGAGGTGCACATTACGGCACCTAATGCCACTGTACAATGTAACACCCACTTTTCACTATTTATGTTATGAGTCCCATGTGGTGAGCATATTGCCATATACCAGCCACAGTTCCAGACTCCGTACTACTACTAAGACTTTTAAAAAAAACGCAGCAATGCTTTGCCCGACCCGGGAGTCGAACCCGAGGCCTCTCGGCAGTCGCACTTGCGAACACCCGGCCAACGACGAGTAACTAAATAAAATTAACTTATGTTACGATATTGTTTCAGATTCTAGTCGGCGAATTGGATCACATTCCCGAAGCTGCATTTTATATGGTCGGCACCATTGAAGATGTTATAGCGAAGTCCCAAGCACTCGCTAAGAGCGTCTAAGCCATAAGGAGATTTTTTAACCTGGTTTTGACATAATTTCACGGTTTTTAGTGATTTTGTGAAAACAATTTAGTATTAACTTATACTTTTTTTCGGGATATTGAGAAAGGGAGTTTTGAATTGTTTTTGAAGTCTAGTACTATATGCAAATATTTTTCAGATTTACACAAAGATTTGTTTGAGTCGACTTCGAAATATTAGGGAAGGATTTGTTGGAATTCTTGTGCCGATGCACAGAATTTGAAATTGTAAGATTTGATTAATTTTGAGACAATGTTGTACACATTTCGTTTTTTTAACTTTAATTTTATTCGAGTGCCCTTTTTGTATAGTGCTCTCGTTTCGGATTTCTTTTTGATTTATTTTGAATTTTATTATATTCAGAACAATGAGATGTCCAGAGTCCATGTTTGATATGTCATAAATTATTGATTTAAAGACCTTTTACTTTGAACGCTTTAAAACGAATACAGCGCCCTCTAGACGTCTAGATTTTGACATTGAAGATGCAAATATTGAGTGCTTAGATCAAATATAAAGCGTCATGACATGTTTGTAATTTGTAGTTTTATTATTCGCCCGAAAACTAAAAGGCTACGCAACAAATAGGAAGTCGCGCTTAAGTAAAATTATGTCACTACAAATTCTTTGTAAAAATGACAGATTTTATTAGCACGATATTCAAGTACAATTTCAAATTGAGTAGCCTTTTAGTATTCGGGCGTTAGGCTGCCTGTCTATTGACGCGGAGAGGGCCAGCGGAGCGGAGCTAGCAGGTATTGCGGAGCGTAGTTGCGGACTGTGTCTGTCCATTGAGGCAGAGCGAGGAAGCGGTGAGGAGCCAGCGAGTATTGCTCAGCGGAGTAATGGACTGTCAAACTTCAGCGGTATACTATACTATCCCAATGTCCTATGCCCCCGCCCCACTCACTCGGCTGCCCCGCTCCGCCGTCTCGCACCGCTACCACGCGCCGCTTTCGAAAATGTATGAATTTTTAAACTAGCCCGCAAATCTCTCTCCAATAAAGCGGAGCGGAGATGTCATGCTATCGTATTAGTTAATTTTTCTTCGTTCTTCCGCTCCGCTGCCTCTCTCCGCGTCAATGGACAGGCAGCCTAAGGTTCGATTTTTCAATGAACAGATAATTGTTATTCATGGGATAAAATTGACGTCTGTTATTCCTTCGATTAAGTTATCAGGCGTCTGAAAAATGAGCCCTTGATGAGAAACAGCATAACTTATCTACTGATTGAACAATAAAAATTATTAGAGACGTTTATATTTATTGTATTGTAATTAACATCTAACGGTTTGTCGTTGTAATAAAATTATTTTAAAACATATTTCGTATTTCATTTTATTGCGTTATGTTAAAGCCAATGATAAAATGAGGGGCAAATGTCCTATGACACGTGTCGCTAACCATGTTGGGTGAGGTTGAAGACGTTGGAAGACTACACCCGATATTTCTAAGGGCTCGTACACAAAACTGCGATGCGACGTCGCATCGCAAGAACTTGCGAATCGATTCGCATTGTGCATCAAAATCTTATCGTCCCAAAATCTTCTTTATTTCTTGTTCTTGTATTTCCTAAGCAATAACCGAAGTGCACACTTCTTTTTACGATCCATGTCACGACCTAGTTTTCAATTTAAAATACGTTTAGTACGGTTGACGGTCGTCGAAGGAATGGTCACCCTGGGAGACGCCTTGTCGCACGAAATCGCATTGCAACTATTGGTGTCGTAATTTTCTGCGTTGCGAATTCGCATCGGAGTTTTGTGTACGAGCCCTAATATTCGCGCGACACATGTGTCCTCCTCGTGTGTTGTCAGCCATATATTATTATGTCAGGCGAAGTCGGCCGGCTTCGCTTAACTTGTTGCCGATATATGTCGTGGGAAATTTGTTCCCTAATGTATTCTTGCCTTTAGGGGGTTAACTGTAAGATCATTTTAGATCTTCAGGCTGCGTTTCCACTGACGCTGAGCTGGGCGGAGAGAAGCGGTGAAAAGTGGTCAGTCTCCACTGAAGCGGAGCGGACTGAAAAGGACACCAGAGCCTACTTTTGGAATTGCGCATTTTTGGGCTTACAATCAATATTTCAAAAAGACCATACGTCATGTTGTCGTTTATAAATAAAAAAGCAATTATTTTATATCTTTATTTACTTGTATGAAGATAACGATTCAAATGTCGTAGTATAGACTGTTGCCCCCGTTGTCCTCCGCACTGCATCGCCTCGCTGTATTTTTATTATGAACTAGCTTCTACCCGCGACTTCGTACGCGCAATCCCGTTTTCTCCCGTTCCCAAAAGATTTTCAAGATATTTTTTCTATCATAAGAACCTTCTGACAATAACAAACACAACAAAAAATCAGCCAAATCAGTCTAGCCGTTCTCAAGTTATAGAGTGACAACGGGAAACGGGTTTAATCTATACTAATATTATAAAGAGGAAAGATTTGTACCTATTTTTGTATGTTTGTAATGAATAGGCTCAAAAAGTACTAGGCCGATTTAAAAAATTCTTTCACCAATAGATTGCTACATTCTTCCAATTCGACATAAGCTACATTTCATTTTGAAAAAAATTAGGGATCCTTGGTAAAATTTGAACAATGTAACCGAAGGTGTGGAAAAATGAGTCTTAAAATGTGTTTCGTCGAATGCGCTGCCGAAACTATTAGCGATAGAACAAAATAATGTACAACAAAATTGAAGAACATCATAATGTCTACAAAAAACTCCGCGGTAGCATATGTCCAACTATTGTAGTTATGTTACTACAACAATCCAAATTTCCAAAAATAAATAATTGTCTACCCCGTGCGAAGCCGGGACAGGCTGCTAGTTTTTATATATATAGATATCCGCTCATCTCTGCTCCACCGCTCATGCTGTATCCATTGAAACGAAATAGAGATTTCGACCATAGTGATTGGTCAATTCGTGCACCGCTAAGCTCCTCTCCGCCCCTTACTGGAAACGCAGCCTTACTCAACTCAGGTGATAGGGCGTAGAATGATTTTAATTTAACTAGATCGAAACGTTACCGCGCTCCGATTGGCCTGCTTCAATGAATCAACCAGCCAGAGGGCTAAACGCACAGCTTTTGCCAACCCACATTATGCAAGCGTGGTGATTAATGCTCAATACTTCTCTGTTTGAGGAGGCTTTTGCTCAGCAGTGGCTACGTACAGGCTGTTGTTGATAATCACTACATGTATAAAACAAAGTCGCTATCCGCCGTCTATCTGTCCCTATGCATGCTTAGATCTTTAAAACTACGCAACGGATTTTGATGCGGTTTTCTTTAATAGATAGAGTGATACTTAAGGAAAATTTATATGTATAATACATGCATATTGCATCCGTGTGAAGCCGGGGAGGGTCGTTAGTATAAATAAAACAACTGTTTGCTTTGTACAAATCACAATTTCATGTATTTACAGGCGCTACCGCGCTATGCGTACAAACTTAATAGACTAACGCTGTATAAATATACCTTCACGACTACCATCCGTTGTCAGTGACACTACGATATTACATTATAGGGTGTTTCTTTGAAAACCTTGAACAGTTTTTTACCATTCCCAAAAAGAGTGGTATTGGTTTTTACTCACTAGATGGTGTTAATGTATAAAAAGGTTTTTTTGTCCAAAAAATCCGCTACCTCACGTAGGCCTGAAGCAACCTGAGGACTTAGGCCGTTTATTTTACGTTTAACCTTTTAAACGCGAGAGCAAAAACACATGAACCTGCCCTCAACGCCAAGCCACAAATCCCGCGCAAACTACGAAAGAAATACCGGGTAAAACGGGGTGAATAGAATTCGAGGGATGAATAGATACAGAAGAGGGGTTAGACATAACATATCATAACATCACGCCTTTTTATCCCCGAAGGGGTAGGCAGAGGTGCACATTTCGGCACTTAATGCCACTGTGCAATGTAACACCCACTTTTCACTATTTATGTTATGAGTCCCATGTAATAGGGGGTGAGCCTATTGCCATATACCGGGCACATTTTTCCAGACTCCGTGCTACTACTGAGATTTTTAAAAACCCAGTAATAATTATTTAGGGTTATTATAGGGTTAGAATGTTGGGAAAATATTCTAACACTTATTCACCCCATTCCTGTTCCTATTCACCCCTCGAATTCTATTCACCCCGTTTTACGGTAGGGATTCCAATCCATGTATTTGTGTCGTTGGCGTCCAGGGACAGATTTCGCTTGTCACGTATACGTGGCCTTGGCGCTCAAAAGGTAACAAGATCGAACCGAGACCGTGTTCGGCGCTCTTATTGGCCGGGTTCAATGAACCACGCAATTACAGCGCCGAATGCGGTTTCGTAAAACGTAAAACGAACTTGGCCTAAGCTCTCTTGTATCAAGCGAGTCCCTGCGATCTATATTAGGCCTGTCCACCTTATGTGTGGACTTCGTGCCCTGTTTTAACAAATAAGTAGCAAAATGACAATAATTTAACTATGCATCAAAAATAATTAAGGTCTATATTTCACCGGGATACCATGGCGTCGCGACCAGTTGCCGCGATCAACAAATTGTACCTATATACAGTTCTATAGAGCGTTATTCGCCTGTAGGTCTACTCCGATTCGAGTTTGGTCCGAAACTTCGCAGACTTTCTACCACAATGCTATTTATTACCGACTAGCTTTTACCCGCGGCTTCGCTCGCGTCACAAAAGGATAAAAAGTAGCCTATGTGACATATACCAATGCACACAGCGCCATCTATACCAATACTTTTGTTTTCCCTCGAGAATATCAAATTTTTACGGGATAAAAAGTACTCTATTATTTAATCCAGACTTCTAACTTCACATCTGTAAAAATTCAAAGCAATCGGTTTAGTAGTTACGGCGTGAAAGTGGAACAAACAAACTCACTTTCCGATTTATAATGTTATAGTAAGGATTTTCAGGTAGCTGATGTATTAAGGAGTAACATAGTCTACTTTTATT